CGGAGGGACGTCATTGAGTGCTCACCATGTGCAACAGCGGTCGCTCCAATGACGTCCTCAGGAAGGGGTTGGGGCACCCGGCCTCTGGCTGCCCCTCCCCTTCCTTGCTTGAAGATGGAGCTTTGTGCCATCTGCAAAGCCCCTGACTTTAGGTAAGCAGATTTGTTACCGTACTTGTAAACATCAATACTAAGAGACCACTTGAAAAGACTATTACCAGCCACTTGAAAGACACCTATCACCCCACACCTTTTTGAAGATTAATGACTTACATCACATTTTGCATCTTTCTGTCTCCTATTACATTCTATTCTCCTCCCACAGCTATGTAACTATTTTTAAAAACCTATGGCTTTAATGCAACTTGCTCAGTGCATCTGGGAAAGTGGATTGATATCCTTAAAAGTGCATGCTAAAATACAAATCAGTCTTAAAATGTGCTTAAAAATATCCAATAAAAATTTCAATAAGAGTCTCCCTGCCTTTCCCTTTTTAAAATACTACAACAGATTAACATTGCTATTTCTTTTAAGAGTGCAGTATGTAAATGTGTATAGGGTGTATGTGCATCTCTCTGTCTCTTTTACTCAATGTATTTGTGGGTATATGAGTAAAAGAGATAGAGAATGGGATGGCATGGTTTAATCTAAACAGTTAAATGTTTGGTTAGAGTGTCTACTGTTGTAGAAATGGATTTGTTCAACATTTTTCTCTCAGTATGTTTGTTATTGTTAGGCACTACAGCTGGAAAACTGAGATAGAAATGAACCATTTTATAAAAGGACCTGAATTTAAAGCAACAGATAAATCTTGGTGATGGCTGCAAGCTGAGTTCCTGTTATTGGTGTCTGTATTTACTAGCAAATCATACACAATATTTTTTAAAGATAAAAATGCAATTAAAATTTTTATCTGCAATTTTTTAAAGGGGCATGGTCATTAACTTGTAAAATTAAGAGTTGACTATTGTTTTCCATGCATTATCTTCTTTCTTTTCCTTAAATCTTTGTGTTTGTTTCAGTAGATTTATGTGATTTTTACTCTTTCTAGCAATTCAAAAGGGCAGAGAGATTTTCATTGGCACAATGCTTTCCAATAATACCCAAGCAGAATAATAATTCCTTATATTTAATACAACATACAAAGAGGGAAGGCCACAGGCAATCTTTCAGCACACCCTGCCTTTGAAGAAGGATGGTATCTGGCCATCTGAGTCTAGCTGGATGTGTGGAGAATGAGTCAGAGAGTGGGCAATATATTTCTTTTCCCACTTCCAGGATCAGGACAGCTTGAACCATTTTTGGGGAAACAGTTTACAATTCATCAAATGTAGTTCAGATTTCAACTTGCTAGGGCTGATATGGGAACATTGCAGCTACCTATCTCTCCATCCACCTTAGGGTGTATCAGCACTGCAGAAATATGGCTCTTTGACACCATTTTAAATGCCATGATTCTATCCTACAGAATCCTGGGATTTAGTTTGGTGAGGCACCAGACCTCTCTGACAGACCAAGCTGAATACTTTGCTAAACTACAAATCCCAGGATTCCGCAGGATGGAGCCAATGGAAATTAAAA